CCCCAAAACCCCAAAACCCCAAAACCCCAAATGATGAGTATTATAAATTTCGTTTGATTTTCATAATTCGTAATTTAATTAAGAATTGAAATGGCACAAAAACTAAATACTCAAATGTAACGATAGCCAGAGGAGGATTTAGAAGATCTTAGAAAGAAGTTTCATCTCCTAGAAGGTGATAGAAAGGTTTTCTATCATGCCTCATCAATGGCAAAGCAAAGGAATAGAGAATAGATTTAACAACTGCAAAAAGAAAATAAAGAATTGAGAGAGCAACTCAAAGCCAAGGTATCAATTTTTACACTTTCTGATTATTCAATGCCTAATTCATTTAATATTAGGCTTTAACAACTTCAGGTCAATCTATGACATCTACAGGTACAGATTTTGGTACAAAGACAGAGAAGGATTTGGCAGTTTGGAGGAGAAAATTGGACGAGGCAAAAAATAAGACTTTGTAAAAGAAGGAAAACCTCTTACACTTGTAGGACAAATAACGAGAATTAAACAAAGAATAATTGGATATCAACTCAGATGATAATCCATAGATGAGAACTATCAGAATGCTTGAGAATAGACTAGACAAAGCAATGATTAAGTATAACGAGGCAATGAGTATCAAGAAGACTTATGAATTGATCGTTAAAAGACTAAAGGATGAGAGAGTAGGCTATGATAATTAGCTGGCAGCCATTGAGTAATCTTTAAAGGGCAAAGAACATGATTTTGAGGAGCTATTACTTTTGAGTCATGATGCTAATCATGCTAAGGAATTAGCTGAAGCAGATTTGAGAAAGTTTGAATCACAAATTGAAGCAAGAAGAAAACTGAGATTTAAAGAGGTAAATGAATAAAAGGCACAGATCGAAAGTAGACTTGATCAAAGAGATAAAAATGATAAAAAAGATCGAGGAGATACAGTCAAATTTTCAGGTCAAGTAGGTGTTGGCAATCTAGGTGATAACAATAGACCTGGAGATACCAATGGAGGAGGCTTTGGGTCGATGCTTGCTGGACTTAGTGGTAAAAAAGGTGCCGCAACAGCAGGTAAATTCGATGGTACAGCTAGCGGATCAGGAGGAATAGATAAACACAGACTTGAAGACTATGATGAAGCAATGAGAAGAATCAAAGATGCAACTGGTGTTAGTGATGTAAATGAGATAATTTAGAAATTTGCTACTTAGCATGATACCTATAATAATCTCTTGGAGCTTAAATCAGCAAACGAGAAGAAGCTCATGGATTTGAATGATAGAAAGCTAGAATTAAGATCAGAAGTGGAAAAGATGCGATATGAAGGCTTAGAGGGGATGACGAGAAAGTAAATGGATGAGGTCGAAAAGAATGTAAACTCAGCTCAGCTGAAATATAATTCTAATAAGGAAAAATTAGAAAGGATAAACAAGATACTTGTGAATGCTAAGGCAGGTATTGAACATCTAAGTGAAAAGCTAAATGATATAAAGCTAGAAGGAGTGCCAAATGTGGTAGTGACTGATAACACACTGGTGGAAGCGCTTATTCAATGTGAGTAAAAGTTGGAGTTCATCTTCGGACTTGTAAGAAATGACCCACTCTATGAGGAAGCTATATCAAAAATAAGAGGCCTTAAGAAGGATGATTAAGAATTAGTTCCTGAAGCTATAGGTTCAAGATTGATAAGCCAGTCTTTGATGATGACAGGATTTGGCAATAATAATGGTGCCACTTTGTCTCAGGACCCTACTGCTAATAACATCAGAGTTAAGTTACCTGATAAAGATGATGATGATCTCAGTGAAGCTGACAATGAAGTTGAAAAAGAAATGGAAGCTAATGAGAGAATGAAGATTAAGCTAGAGGCACAACTCAGATATGACAGAATGGCTAAAAACAAAATGAAGGGTAAGGTTTCGGGTTTGTCGAATTAGACATCAACAGGAAATCTATAGTCTTCTCAAAAGAAACTTAGATGATTATAAGAATTAATATAATTAGTTAAATGTTTCTTTATATTGTAAATCTTCATAGGGGTTTTGGGGTTTTGGGGTTTTGGGGTTTTGGGGTTTTGGGGTTTTGG